TTTTTTTAAATTTTTTTTTTTTTTTTTTTTTTTTTTTACGCTATTGCTACCAGACAAATGTTTTTTTTGTATTTCTGCTTCGATTACGTTGAAAAAAGTGATTAATGTGGAAGCTTTGTGAGATTTCAAGTTCGTCAATGTTCTTGATTTTCGAAGTACATTGAACTTGCTGCTTGTCACATCAGTACTGGATGAATTCACAAAAATGATTATATTGGAGTATAAATTGCTGATGTAACGAAGATAGAATTTCTCGTATTCTGTTTGCAAGTGTTTCAATAATCAGTACAATGGGAGAAATCGTAGAAATTTCGCAAGGCGATGCTCAACAAAATGCAGTGAATGGTTGGGGCGACACTATGGGCAAAATACAGTACTGGTGTCCTGAAGGTAGCTGTTACTTAATAATCTTGATAGTTTGAGATTCGTGATGTACCATTTGTCAGAATTGCTAAATGATATTAACAATTTGTTTTTATCTCTAATTTGATTCACTACATTAATTTTCAATTGAATAGTACATTTACTATTGTAAATGACACATTTGAATTATATATTGTAAATATTAGCTTCAGTGCCGCTCGACAAATAACTTTTTAAAATCGGTATATTTTGAAAACCGAGCTTAAATATTCTCTATAATTTATACACTTGATAGTATATTCAAATGATCTCATTACTGTAATATTTAATAATTTTACATTATTAAAAGTGTGTTCAATTTATTTAAATTTAAACTTCTAGAATTACCCTAGGTGCGATAATTCTTCAATTTCCTTGTAGTGTCTACTCTAAAAACATCCCTAGGAATTTTGTAGGTGTGTGTCTAGGTTAGGTCGCGTGACGCAAGACCTGACGCGAGTCGACAAGTCTCGTTTTCTTAAACGTTGGCAATTTAGTTCCGGCCAGAAGGCAAAAAGGTTCTAGGAGCTGGAACGCGAACGATGCGTCGCGTGTATACGCTACTGAAATATTTGCCCGATGATTCAGTAACGGTGGTAAATGTTAAGAAACTTGGAATTAAAAATAGCGGGTCCGGACGAGATAAAAAAATTTGCGGCCTTCGCTCGATTCTTGTAGTTGGCGAAACTATTCGTTTGCATGCTTCGTTGCGTTTTGAAAAAAAAAAGAAGGAACAAAAAATACATAACGCTATTTTTAGAAAGGATTTAAAAATTGTTTGCAATTCTCGGTCGCGTTCTTTATCGACCGCCACGTCTCTCATGGAGATAATTTACCGACCGTGAGAAACAGACGAATGCGGAATTCGCAGAAATCCATTGGCGCTTTCGTCACCCCCGTTCCATATTGTAACGAAATCAAACCTAATCCCATGGCAAGCGTGTTTCCCGCTGGAAAGCATGTACAATTCGTTTCGCACCATAGAAACGCAGCCGATTTGCAGATAAGTCAATGAAATGGGAGATCGAGTCTAATCTAACCTCACATTCGTCTCGACTCCCGAGGTTCATTGAAATCTGGCCCTAATTAATCTGGCTTGCTGCGTCAATGAGCTTGCTCCTCGATTCTACTCAAATATATTGCGACATTTTAGATCGATCGTGGTTAGACTTTGTACGATGAAAGTAATTGAGCAAAACGATAAACATGCCATTTTTAAATATTTGTTGAGAACTGAAGGTGTTCTCTTTCTTTCTGTAGTAGGAAATTTAATGTACTATTTTATCTCTAAGCTTACAGAACTTATTTTCCTTTTTCTGTCTTTTTCTCATTTTCGTTTTTTATTATAATTTCATTTCACGTATATTATAATTTCACTTGCACCGTATATTAATGACTGCGAGGAAAACATTCGTGTTTTCACGTTTTAACATTGATAAGCATTTTTCAGAAACATCGGTTTAAGGCCGATGCAAATCATCAGCACTCTTATTAGTTGTTTATCTTCTTGAATTCTTCAAGATATCTGATAATCTTTATCGATTTCGATTCGATTTTAATTAATTAATAAATATATAATATATGTTTATTTACGAATAGAAGAGTAAGAGTAACTTTTTACCTATTTGTGAGATTAAGAAAAAACATGCTTTTATGTATATTGGACATTTTTCAGTTCTAATACAGTGTTTTCTTAATTATTTTCACCTTTCTTAAATAAAAAATTGACAATAATATAAAATATACACTCAAGGTCTGTTATTTATTTTTCTTTATTTTTTTGTTACTATAATTATGCATGCAAATACTCTGCGCAAAAATTACTCTTGACTTTTATTGGAGAAACGCAAGGGACACAATTATACAGGTAATAATTTCTATATTTCTGGACAAATTATACGGGTGTAATCTACGCATAAGTAAAACTAAAACAAATTCTATGAAGTTATGCTTATGACAAAGTTACAAAGCGAAATATTGAACATAGTTTATTGTTGGCTTATTATTTCCATAACAAATCATCACGCGACTAGACGCTAACAGGATTAAGCAATTACAGTTAACAATAGAAATAAAGAAAATACAATCGATGTTTCAAGTTCCACTATTTCACGTACACCTCAGGCACTACGTTCAATATTTCCTGTCACAGGAAATTTACTTACTTCCATTTATGAATTATTTCCATGGAACTTGTTTAAAAAAAATTCATTACTTATCGTTTAAATTCTTCCTCGTCGACAGCTGCTCTTTGGACAAAATTAACATTAATTTTCATCGAGAGAGAAACACGATTATATGTCTGTCTGTTTATTTTGGACATACCATTTTAAATATAATCATCTATGTACATATATGTGCGTATATAGCATATTTGGCTGCACATTGTGAATCGATAGCTCTTGCGTTAAATGATGCAATAAAGAAATCACAGATATCGAGGAATGTAACGAACCCAAGGGATCGCGAAATGGAGTATCGCGAAGAAACCTGTAGCTCGTTCCTAACGGTACAAAAATTCATCGAACTCGTGTTCATCATGAATCATGCATGCGATACGATGCGTGCATAGCACGCAAACTATTTTTTTTTTTTGCAGTGCGTAAAAAAGATAAGTGGCTCAAAAGACCTGAATGTGGTTAATTTCAGTGATTTACAAAATTATTTAAACGCTTGCTACAGAGAATTTGAAACGAATTTGTACATAAAATTATGTGTAAAAGTTACGATGCAACACTTGAATTAGCTTATCTGCATGCAGTATGGGATTTCGTAAATTCGTCAATCGCTTTAGCGCTATTGAAAATTAGCCAGCAGCTATCATGATATGCTTGAGCGTGTATTTAGAAGTCATAATTAAAATACAATTGTGCAATTTAAATTCGTCATGGTAATATGCCATAATTTTGATAATATTAAAGTTATATTATTCACTTCAGTGAATTACTAAATATTTGTCAAGCACACCTTGGAACTGATTATATTCGAAAATACCCTCTCCTCATGTATTTCTGGCTAACTTACAGAATAAAGATAATAAAAAGAACCAATGATTACATTTATTAAATCACCAGAGATCTATCAACTATTACAATCACCAAATCTGAGGCAACACGACACGCTAAAGTCCTAAGACTAAAACCAAATTAGAAAAAAAGGATATATTTAAGAAGTGGAGACTGGAATTGAAAGTCAGTTGAAGGCAATGAAAAAGCTTCAAGTCAAAAAGCAAAAAAGAAAAACACACACCCTCCTCCCCCTATTAAAAAAAAAAAAAATTGTCTAGAACAATTTTCGTCCAGTTTACAGATTACTTCTCATTTGTCCGGAGAACCAAAAAAAAAAAGAAATTTTTTTAAATGAAAAAAGACGAGAAGGGTGAGAGTCGACGTGTCGAAGGCAGAGCAGCCGTCGTGAGACGCGGTGGTTCATGGAAATAATGTCCCAGCGGCTGCTGCTGCTGCTGCTGCTGCTGCTGCGGAGGTGGTGGAGAGTCGAGCGTAGAAGGGACAAGGGAAATATGCAGTTCGTATTGAGGCAGGTCGGTGGAGCGCCACGAGTCGCGCTCCAGGCGCAGAGATCAATGCACCCGCCCCCTTCGTACCTCGCCGCCGACGTCGACGTCCACGTCGAGCTTGCCTCGTAAATCCGCGAGCGGCCGGGATGCGTGCACGGCTACGGGATTGCGAGGAAAAAAGAATCCTCCGTAGAATCTCTCTGTCGAAACGTGCGTAAAAGGAACGATGGGAGAGGACGTGCCGGTTACGTAAGAGAGGTTCGCGCGAGAGAGGTGTGTCATGTGTCATGGGGAAGATCTGGTTAACGCACGAGACGATGCTTGACCAAGATCAAGGAAGCTTTTGAGTAAGATGTCGTGAAGATTTGCGACGAAGAGAAACAAAAAAAAAAAAAAAAAAAAAAAAAAATATGTGAAAGGAACTTTTGAAAAGTTACTGGGGAGATTGTGGGGTTGTCCATGTGACGTTGGTTAGTGAAAGAAAGAAACCGAGGTGGTTTGGTGTTGGTTCGATAAAGGCTTCGAGGGTAAAGAGACTGAGCCTTAGCGAAGATTAGGAACGGAGAGGTCTTCTCGAGGTTGAGAGGAATCTGGGAAAAGTATCGGGAACTTGGAAAAGAATCTGAGCCCGAGAGAATCGTTCGAGAGATTCCTCAGGGGTTTCGGAGTGACGATGTTAACGAAGATATGGATTTTCGATGAGTGGAATTTTGAAGTGTCCGCACGCTCAAGGGGATTGATCATGTCGACGCACGACTCCTAGTTGTCAGCGATACATGACAAAGCCGAGCCCGACGAAAGCGTTCTCCGCCTCCTGATAATAAATGGTGACCTAGCAGAGTAGCGGAGGCGAGGGTGGAGTTCAGAACGGGTGAGAGAAATCGTTGCGAGAGCAGTGGAAAATGACGGACGAGCGTGCTGGCGAGACCGACGAGGACGACGGCCAACACATGAGAATTCCCTGAACGGATGTTCACCGTATAATGTATAATGAATTTATCATTGAAAGCAGCGCAGCGAACGATTGGGAAGGAAAAGAACGGTAGACGTGCTGCGTGTCTATGCTCTCTCCAAGGGACTGTAGATCGAAGGAGCCTGCGAGGCGAGGTGGAGAAATTCCGGGGGTGTGGGTGCGAGGAAGAGGAACGGCTAGCTGTTGATGCAATCATGTGAAGTCCATCGACCAGACGGAAGACGTTTTTCCAGCTGTCGTTCTCGTCGTATTGGACGACTGAGAGATTAAAGAGACTGTTATGGGTGGGAAAGGGTGTGGAGGGTGAGAAGAAGAAGAAGAAGAAGAAGAAGAAGAGACAAGCGAACGAAGAGGAGAAGAAAGAGGGTGGAGAAAAGAGAGGAAGGAGAGTGCGCGGAAAAAAAGACACGTATCGACGGACGCGTAAAGAGAGGGATGTCGAGGAGAGAGAGGCCCTTTCTTCGTTGAGTGTTCTCGACCCTGTCCCAATTTCCAGGCTCGTAATAGGGGCGGATTCGAGGACGCAATGTTACGGATTAAACGGCTGCGAGATGCGCACCAAACGGTTCACAGTCGACGAAAGAAAATGTTGTAAGCTTCCTCAGAGCAGAAGGCAACTATTAAGAATAGCAATCGATTGAGGAAAGAAGATCGAGGGGAAAAGAAGAAGAAATAGTAGATATATTGCTGGCGAAGAAAGGGGTGATGAGGAGGAGGAGGATAAAAGGAGTACAACAGGGTTCAGGTGCATGAACTATCGATAGCGTGTGTATAGACAAGCAGAATGTTCAAGAGCAGGATCTTCCAGGGCGATCTCAGCCCTGTCCCAATTCCGGGCAGCCTCCAACAGTCCAGTACGTAATAATGAAGGAAATCCTTTACAGTTAGATCGATCGTTCGACGCACGTTTCGCGCAGGGAATCAATCCTTCGGGCTCCCTGATTTACAAGTGTCGATGGCTAGGCGTTTCAAATTGTGCATCGTATATATATACATACATACATACATACATACATATATATTTCTTGCTTTCGTCTTGTTTCTCCTTTGTAAATGTTTTTCTTTTCTGGTGGCCGATCATTTGTGCTACTCGAAGAATTGAGCAACATGAAATTTGCAACACAACGTGAAAACATAGTAGGGTCTAATTGTGATATTAGCAATTTTATAATTGAACGTTTAGAATTGTCTTTATTGGTCTTGACATTTTATTCTCACTGTCAATTGTTGTAATCATTCCATGTTTATAAATCTAAACGAATGAAGTCTTTGCAGATCAGTTTTTTTTTAAATATACATTCCTGATTTTTCTGCCTGGAAACATTTCCACCTGCCATGACGTTTTCCCTCGAAAATCTCAACTGAAGGGGAATTGCATGCCTAATTTCCCTGAACTCGATCTCTGTCCTCAAAATTTCATATTAGTGCCTTTCGTGGCACTGATTTTACAAGAACCGATTTCTCTGACCCAGAAACCCATGTATACCTATAACCTGTAACCATTACATCGGTCGTTCATCATGTTAAATCGCCAATTTTTCTCTAACGATCCTTTAAAAATCACCTTGACCTGCCCTCTAATCCGATCTCTCCTTGAAAAGTCCTATGTATCGACAAACCAGAGCAAATTAATTCCTAGTTAAATCCTTCGTCCATTCGAAGCCCCTTTTCCACGGCAATGTAACACGGTTCGACCGTGGCCGACTGGATCAAGCCACTTGTCTCTATGGTTCAAAAGCCTTCATTTTTCGCAGGAAAGGTTAAGACGAGGCTGATAACGCGAAAAACTAGGTAGAGGTGTATCCGGTGGGCCGAGTGGGGCACCAAACAGGTCAACGACCCGTTTAGTGCAGCTGTTATTGATCGACGAGGACGAGAGGAGGACTAGCAACATCGTTCGACCATTTTATCCAACTCTCTCTTTCTCTCTCTCCCCCCTCTCCCTCTCTCATTCCTAATTGTTCGCGATCCCTGCAGGATTCCCAGCCCTATTTACCGACCAAGTTTCGTTAGAAATGAACGATTGTCGATTCACCTTGTCCTCGGTGAAGCGATCGTTGAATTTCCGGCACCCCTCCGACCCAGAAACTACTCTCCCCGTAGCTCAAGGGAATCCGGCAAAGAGCTGACCCAATAAACACTGGGTGACCTCTTTCCGGACTTCCACCCCTCACCCTTGTCCCTCTGACCTACCCCATCCTTCTCCCCTCTGTTCCTCTTCTTCTTCTACTTCTTCTTCTGCCTCTTCTCCTCCTTCTCCCTCGACAACCATAAACCAGACCCTCAGTCCCTTCTGTTTTTCAACCGACCAGGGAATTCTTTTAAACGTTACTTACATACCTACCCAATAACAATGTGTAATTTCCTGTTGTAAATGGGTCTGGTAAATCTCATTGAACGGGGGATGATTTAGTCAGCCAGTAGATACGGAGAAGAGGAATCGGTAGAGAGCGAGTCGAATGGGTGTTGTTTTGTCGTTTGGAGGAATTTGCCCGATAAGGGATGAAATGTTCTATATATTGTTATGTTATATTTGGTGATAAGCGAGACAATTTTGTGGACGCGTAGCTGTAAGAGATTGATGTAATATCAAAGGGCGAAGTTAATTAGATTGTATGCGATGGTTTCAGGCCAGCAAGGTCAGCAGGGCGAACAGGAGTTGGCAACGAAGATGCTACAGATACAGAGCAAAAGATTCTATCTCGATGTAAAACAGAACAGACGCGGAAGGTTTATCAAAGTAGCTGAGGTATTTAGCTGAAAATCATTGTTTATGTAGGCTGCTCGTTCGATTTAACCCTCAATTACTACATCGTTGGTCATTGATCGTTGCTTAAAATGGAGTAGTGAGAAATTATGGAAGTAAATTCTTGTTAGTCACAGCCCAACGATACCACGAATTAAGGGTTAAAGGCAGCGAGATGAATGTTGCTTCCTCTCTTCTTTTCTAATTTTTGCTCGGTTAACACAGGATGTAAGAAAAGAGAAGAAAGTAAAGCTCGTTTGTGTTTTGTAGATCGGCGCGGATGGAAGGAGAAGCCAAATCTACCTGGCACTTAGCACAGCATCCGAGTTTCGGAACTACCTTTCGACGTTTAGTGACTTTTATGCATCCCTAGGTAAATCGCAATCTCCAATTATTACGAGATGTTTTGTTAGACAAATTGGCTTATACACGACGAGAGACGCAGAATGTGTGTCTACCATCTTGATGCCTTCAGGGAGACTCTATTTTTTAATCTGTAAAATCATAAAAATACTTTACCTTGTTTTACTTAAAAAAAAAAGGTAAAGAAAGAGACTTTGAGAAAAATTTTGTTTCATTAAAAGAAGGTTGAGCACAATATGAGCACGAGAGAAGAGTTTACAACACTTTATTTAATTGACTGTTGATTTATAAATCAAAATTATTCAAAATTATTTCAAGACGGTACCTAATTTTAAGAGAAACTTGAAATTTATTGACTTTGGAAAAATTTCAGAAATTTCAAAAATTAGCAATACATTATAGTACATTATAACGTTGATAATAATATATGACTATATTAATTTCAAGTCCAATAATGCTAAATGAAATCAATAATAACGATTTTAAGTATTTCAATATTTCAATGTATCAATTTTGATTTTAAATCTTAAAAGTTTTATGTATGATAATCATCTCGCAAAAAATAAATAAATAACTCGGTATTATAGATGAGTAAAAAGGCTCGGATAGTTAAAGTTTCATGTGTACTTCTTTCTTGTTTTCTACCGACGAATCCGCAGGCCCACCAAACTCGGAGAACGTGCCAGATGACGGAAAACTGAAATCGGAAGTGATGACAAAGGATAACAGGCGGTATTACCTGGACCTCAAGGAAAATACTCGCGGCCGTTTCCTGCGGGTGAGTCACCCTGTATGTACCAGCCAATGCATTTACTTTCTACGCTAAGTGATAAGGAAGAGAAAGAGAGAGAGAGAGAGAGAGAGAGAAAGAAAGTCTCTGTCCCTTGTGGAGGTGCCAAAGGGCCAATCGTTTTAGATGGTAAAAACCGTTTAAAAGAAAGAAAGCTCTTCTGAAGAAACGTTCCGACAAAAATAGAAAAAAAGAAAAAAAGAAAAAAGAAAAAGAAATCGGTGTTCATTCGAATAAATCGCTTCCACTACGCATTCGCTTCAATTTCAAAATGAAATCTACTTACGAGCTATCTGTTGAAATGCCAATGTTTGTTTCACAGGTATCGCAGACGATTACACGAGGCGGACCTAGAACGCAGATCGCGATACCGGCACAGGGTATGATCGAATTCCGAGACGCGTTGACGGACCTCCTTGAAGAGTACGGTACGGACGATGGCGGTTTCAAGGGTGACTTGCCAGAGGGACGGTACATGCGCGTGGATAGCAAGAATTTCTATTTTGATATCGGTCAAAATAACCGTGGCATCTACATGAGAATTTCTGAGGTGCGTGCGTGTATCGTTGGCTAAAAATACAGGGTGTGTCTTGTCGTGGTATTGCTGTAAGGGTGGAATTTTCAAAAAGAAAAGAGTTACCGTAAATGTATGACTACTTTGATGATTAATTAATCATGCAAAGTATCTGCGAATAAATGTTTAAGATATCACAACGAAATTTAACGCTTGAGGAATAACGAGATCAATTAAATGAAATAAAAGGAAGAATGTGTTTTTTGCAGGTGAAGACACACTTTAGAACAGCAATCACCGTACCAGAGAAATCCTGGGAGCGTTTCCGTGATATATTCGCTGATTACTGTGAAAGAATGAGAGAAAGAGGCGCTGGAAGCAATGTCGGCATGAACAGCGGCGGTGGAGGAAATGTCTTGCCCGAGGGGAGGGGCTCGGTGGTGGCACAGGTACCATCACCATCGACCTCACAACAGCCTAACCCCAATCCAAATTTAGACTCTCCCTTAATGAAGTGAAAAAGGCTTTAACTTAACTCGAACATTGGAATTATAACCGTAACTCGTTTTCAAGTCATTAAGCGAACTAAAGGAACTTGTCAGAGTCTATGCCATCGTCATCGCCATTTTCATCGACATCGTCATCGTCATTGTCATCGTCACCGTCACCGTCATCGTTATCGCCACCGTCACTCGTCGTCAACTGAAAACACCAAAACTCGCCTGGAATGGGTTCTATATATAAAAAAAGAAAAAAATAAATATATATCTTCGCGGAGAGTTCATACAACCGGTTAACGCTAGTTGTTCAGCATAGAAATTCGAAATTGCACGCAGATCCGATAGAGAAGAATGGCTGACGCGAAACGATCATCGTCGTCGTGCGCCGACTTCCGATCTATCGGCCACCACCAATCGTAGGGCAAAACAAAAAACAGAAAAAAACAAAAAGGGGAAACAAACTGGAGGAAGGAAGGGAAATATAAATGATAAAGGATGGTGGATTGATTTAAAAGGAGAATAGATGATGTGTGTGTGTGCGCGAAACAGAAAATAAGAAACGAGTCTGCCGCTCGTGCGATTCCGGCGGAAGTACGTAACGACGGGATCGTGGATATATAGAATTATTGCGCGATGTCCTTAGGTGGATACGAGTTGCCATCGATTAACGTTATGAGTACTACCGTTCATTTCCTGAGCTATTTCTTCAACACTAACTCGCCATCGATTTCATTATAATTTCTTAATTCCATTTGTTTCTTCTCGCTTGTGTGAAATTCTTTTTTTTCTTTTTTTTTTTTTTATAGAGAGAATATCGGCACTCGAGCTGATTTATCATTTTTTGCTCTGGTTAGATTCATTAATTCCAACGAAAAGACGAAAGAAAGAAAGAAAGAAAGAGAGAAAGAAAGAAAGAAAGAAAGAAAGAAAAACGATCAATCGGCGGGAAATGAACCGTAGTGGAGATCACGTTACAATTGAATTTGATCGTTCAGAATTTATGAATAAATGAATAGTTGTTATATTAACGATTATATCGCAGGGAGAAAGGAGAGCGTGGTGTGGGTAGTCGCGTTGTTAGACTAAAATCCCGTTAATCGCCGAAAGCGAACCAATCACTTGCTGACTTGATCGAGATAACGAGCGAAGCGAACGTGCGCAGAAAGATCTCGCGAAAATCTCGTCGTACGGATGTCGTCTGGAAGTGTCTTTCATATACAAAATGAACGAAACTTTATGTGCACCTGCTCCTTTCACGAAATTCATCGCGTGCTTTTTTTGCGCGCGGCTAACATGTTCACCATTTATAGCGCTCGTTACGATCGAGTCGAAGAAGAGAAAACAGCAAAAAAAAAAAAGACCGTTTGGTCGCTTGACGCGTGAACGTCGAATCACAATCTAGGAACCGCGACACCGTATACACTCGTTTACAAACTGAACGACGTCTCTTAAAAAAAAAAAAAGTAATTAATGAAATAATATATAATATAGGTGAAAAGAAAAAAAGATTCTAGCCGAATACGAATCCCTATAATATGTATATTATACAAAGTTAATTATATTATGTTTTGTTTTCATCGATTCGTACGGAAAAGTGCGCATGCAGACGCAAATATAGGTCTGATGTCCGGATTATAGACTTCAGTGCAGACGTACAACGGTCAGACATACACAAGTCATACAAGAGATACACACATATGTATTGATACAGTCAACACACACACGCATTTAAAAGAAAAGATATAAAACACACAGGAAATACACAGGATATCGGACAACTTACAATCTCTGTTTCACACTACAGATCCACAAAACATGTTCACAACATACATGCATACATTTCTACATACACACATAGAAATATTCCATCATGAAAGACGAACGGTACAAGAGACGGTGTGCACGCGTACGTAATTACGTTACGTTTGAGTGACGGCCGAGTTCTAACACAATTGCATATTAGGTATGTATTATACGAATGCATATTAGGTATTTATATAGAATCTATATAACTGTATAATTGTAACGAAATGCCAATGTCCGTGGACCCAGGCAACTGTATCACCTGGCAACGCGCGATCAATCGAATTGAAGGTGTTGCGGGCCTGCAGTCGCTTAGGTCCAGTCTTTTGGACACAGGAAGAGAGGAAAAAAGAAAAAGAAAAAGAAACACGTGACAAGAACAGGAAAAAAGTGAGGATAAAAAAAAACGGGGGTGGGGAAAAAAGTATATATGATACGGACGTGGAAATGAGAAGGCAAATAAAAAGATAGAGAGATGGAGAGAGATAACATTCAAAGACGAACAACCGAGTCGGAAGGAGAATTAACACGCAGTCGAGTTATTTCTCTCAATGGAAAAGGAAAATCTTAATACGCTTTGATTCTGCAACGCTGTGCTAATATCAACAATGATAATGAAAGAAAGAAAGATTAAAAGAAAAAAAAAAATAAGATGAAGATAAATATCTATCCGTTCTCTTGCGTTTCTTCGTGATCGAAACGATGAACAATTAATCGAAATATATTTCGCACTGGTGCGGAATAAGAGATGCTCGAGAGCAGCGGAGCGGCATAGATGCATTAAACGCATAAAGTGCTATTTAATTAATGGAGGGCGCGTTCCGATTCGTGCGTTATCGGCGCGTTTACGTTTGAAGAGATGAGTAAAATTTTATTTATTTTTTAGCAATGAACCTATTATCTATTTCGATAAGATATTTCTTTGATTGCATTTCCTTCGAAATCAACAATTTCGGCTGGTCTGAATTTACTTAGCACGTAGGTTTTGATGATATAAATATGAAATATAAATCACAATAACAAATTCGAATACGCACGAGTGGGTGAATCAACGAGAAAAATATATATCCCGATCCTCTTCAATTTAAGGATAGTTTGAAGTAGATCGATGCACGATCCCTTTTTCTACTTTGTTATACTCATCAGCTTGTGATATTGTTGTCGTTTCAATTTTTATTCGTTTCTTCTTTTTTTTTTTCTTTTTTTTTAACGCATCGTACGATCATCAACAAGATACCTAAATGGATTAGATTTAGAACAATTAATGAGAAAAATGTCTATCGAATGAAATTATTTTTCATACGTATGTCGTGTTCTTTCTCTTTTCATCATCTTACCAATCTCTCTTTTTTTTTTTTAACCTTTCGCAAACTTCGTCAAACTGTTTCGTTGAGTTCAAGGGGGTCGGTGAACCCGCAGTCTGTGCACAAGAAATATAATATTGTCCAAACCAAGCGTTCTGATGGTAAAAACGGCAAAGAGAAAAGGCATAAAGGAAAATTGTTCAACTGGCGCAGATGGTATGACATATTGTGATCTATAAAAAAATTACAAATTACAAAGCATCAACAAGTAGTAGATATTTAAGATATAAAATATACATACACGTACACCTACGGCGACCTAGACACACTGTCTAATTGATGTACGCGATCGCGTGTATAACACACACACACATTTAAAAAAAAACAAACAAACATAACATGTTATTAAAATGAGGACGACTACAGCGTACCTAACTAATAAAAAAAAAAAAAAAAAAAAAAAAAAAAAAAAAAAAAAAAAAAAAAAAAAAGAAAAAGAGAAAAGAAAAACAAAGAAACACAGAGAGTCAAAGAGAGAGAGAAAGTATAAAGTAAATGAGAAGGAAGATAACACAAAAGAAAACTCGTCTGACACAGTAAAAAAAAAATATAATATAAAGAGAGAAAGAAAAATGGGGAAAAAGTGAAGAATGGAAAAAAAAAACACGACTCTCCTGCCACGCAGCGAGTCTTTAGACAGCTTTAAGATAATAATTATAAATGATAAATAATAATTATTATTAAATAATAACGATAAACTTTCTATATGTTGAGTCGTGTCTAGTGAGAGAAGTACTCTATTGAAATAAAGCAAAAAAAAAAAAAATCTACTATCGCCACACACGGATTAACACAGTTTATAATTGATCATTAGTTGTCTATCGAATGTTCTTTTTTCATATAGTGGAGAAGGTGATTGTTAGAGAATAGCTTGGTGTTTCGTTTGCTGTTTTACATGAAAAGAAAAAAAAAAATAAAAAAAAACGTTGTGCGGTTGGTAATCGGCAAACCTTTTTACCAAATGTTAATGCGAGTGAGAACGAGACAGAGAGAAAGTGTGTGTATGTATGTGTGCGTATGCGAGTGAGCGAGCGAGAGAGAGAGAGAGAGAGAGAGAGAGAGAGAGAGAGAAAGAATGTGTAAGTATGAGAGAGAGAATATCAAGAAGAAGGTAGCCGAAGATCCACACCTACGTTTATATTTGGTGGGGCTTTTGACCACTACTGTTATCATTATCACTGCTATTATCACGTAGGGTTTCCATACCAGAGCCGTGTTTCGCAAGCTGTTATAACGCGTAGGGAACCAATGATAAAACGCCCTGTTAATAATTAAATATACGATAATCAATCTCCCAGTAGGAGGAAAAGAGAGAGGAAGTGTGCATGTGACCTTTCATTAATTACACTCTATACTCGTTCGCTAGCATGGCTGTCGTCGTCTACAGGCGAAAACGTTTTAGATAATTTAATCTACTACCCCCAACCTTCACACACACACACACATCCAACCCCTACGAGACTCTATTCGCGCCAACGTTTTTCTCGCATTGTAAAGCGCTATTTTATTCTCGCGGCTTGCGACAGGAGATTAAACAACGCCACGGTATGAAAACCCTGCGCTCGCTGCGATTATTCTTATTATCATTATTATTATTACGATTATATTGTCATTATACTTATTATTACGATTATTCTCTTTATTATTACTATTATTACTATTAGTACCATCATTACCAGAGAAAAAAAGAATGAACCACTATCAGTCGTGTATTAATGATCAGCCAAGACCAGCCTCGAGCTGGCTGATTTTTTAAAATTTTGCTTTTCTCTTCCCCACTTTTGTTTTGTTTTTTTTTTGTCTTTTTCCTATTTCTTTTTCTTATCGTTTTTACCTTTTTACACACACCTCTAACTAAATCGTCCATCGTCATCAAATAATCTTATATACATCGTCGTCGCGTTCATCTGTTTTTTCAATCTCTGAAAATTTTAAAACTGTTACCCTTTCGTCCTTTCGTTGTATATTTTGTCATTTGTATTTTTTAAATTCTCTCACCGGTTTCCCATTTTTTCTTCTTCTTTTTTTTTTTTTTTTTTCTTTTTATATCTAATCGTTTTGTCAATTGGCCCACTCAGCTCTGGCGTAAAATCGGTGTGCAGAACGTACGAGCAAAGCAAACGCTATGCAAAAGAAATGGCAAGATAAAGAATAAGAGACAGAAAGAGAGAAAAAGGTAGTGAACAAGGATCGAGCAGGAAAACCGAAAAATAGCGCCAATTCGAGATTTCGATCGACGATGTTAGACATTTTCTTTTTTCACGCAGCTTCTCGCGATCCGGCGAGTCGTCCTTTCTTTTATTTCTTTTTCTTTTTTTTTTTTTCTTGTTTTCTCTGATTTTGCTACTTGAGAAAAGAGAAAAAAGGAAACAAAAGGGAGAATCACCTTTTAAGCGTGGCGTTTTCTTTTCTTCCTCTTATAGCGCGCTCTCGCGTGTGTGCATGCGTGCGTGTATGTGTCCATGTGCGTGTATACTCGAGATAATCGAAGAAGCGAGCTATCTCTTTACAAGAAAGGGAAGGAAAAAACAAAAAAGATAAAAAAAAAATAACATAAGAACTGATCACGGGGATGATGCACCCTCCAAAACAAGTCGAAGACCAATGCTTACTTAATCACAGAATAAAAGAAAAAGAAAGAAAGAAAGAAAGAAAGAAAATGAAAATGAAAATGAAAATGAAAATGAAAATGAAAAGGGTACAAAATTTCCTTTATTTATAATTACGTATGGCACTCATAACAAGATTGTATTTGAAGGTGCAGGGTGCAGCTGGACGGTTTAAACCCATTTCGCGGGCAAAGATACTTTTCCAAGCAACAGTATAAAATTCAGGCGATTTCTTTTACTGCGGCTAATTGTGTAAAATGCTATAAAATGTTCTGTTAGCCCTTTGCATTCGGTGTACAACGTCCACCAAAGACGCATTTCTTGAATAATCTAAGATTAAACACGCCGACCGAATTTTAATAGAGTTAATCTTGTATTCTTCAAATAATGGCACGAGGAATCCAATAGCTTTTAGAGTCGCTTTCGTTATCGTCAACGAGGTATTAAATGTTAGTTGGAGAAGTTTCGTAAAGTTGCTGGCCGACTGACGCGCGAGAAAAGTTCGACAATGCAAAGGGTTAACAAGCTGTTTTAGCGTGCTTCTCTAGAACACACACACATACACACACACATATATTTATATATACACATATACATACATACATATATATTTTATTTGAAGAAAGTCGTGCACAAAATATTTAAAGACATGATGATGATGAAATCACTGCCTGAAATATTACGGCCTTCATCCACAAGGGGTTCAAATATTTTTGGCAAATGGTGCATAGCATTTTTCATTGAACATGGTTAAAGGAAAAAGAAAAAAAAAGGGAAAAAAGAGGTTTATTACAAATGCAACTGTTGTGCCTTTTCAATCACGTTGTATTGTATGAGTTCTCTCGATAAACTTTGGTTAATGAACTTTGTAAATAGTTATAAGGAATAATAGTAGATCTATTTTTTAGGTTTCGTGTATCTCGCCTTATAATGTCCATAGCACTTTAGCACTCTGCATTCAAACAATCGAAGAATGCAATGAGTAGATAGATTACCGTGTCAAAACTGACGACCTTTACCTGACGATCTAATTAACCAATGAAGAATAATCCTTCTCGTTTGTAAAGATATTAACTAATCTCCTTTCTTATACGATACTTGAAGTGTACAGTTCTGAAATTCCATCCCTTCCGTTCGATATAATATAAACCCTGAAACTTTATTGTAACTAATATAGATTTCTCGAAGAAACGCAACAGAAATGTTTATCTTCAAGGTGCATCATCCCCAGCATCGGTGTGATGTTACAAGAGACGTGACGCTAGGAACGTTTAACAGTTTGCAACTCTTAAACGTTATTTATTTCGAGAATCGATATCAGCATAATATTGTTATATAAAGAAAAGAAGAAGAAGAAAAAAAAAAAACTAATCGAGTCAAGTTTTCAAAATGTTATGAGCACGAGGATGATCTACCGTGGATATATGGTTCATACTAATTATTTCTTCGAATCAACGTTTTTTCGCCATAGTTTGTAATATTTTAATATATTAACTATGAAAAAAAAAAAGATGAAAAAGTGAAATGAGTGAGGGGAAATGATGGAGAATAAATTCGAGTTGGGAAAGGGCGAAAGATCGACTAGCTCGTACCTATCGATCGATAGCGATGGCAACGTTGCTATCGATCATATTGTAAATCATGACTTCCTACAAACGATGTAGACGATCTTTCGCTCGCACAAACTTGAAATGGTACAGAAAAAGGTGTTACTATAGAAAAAAAAAACAACAAAAAAAAGAAAAAAATAAAAATGAAAACGAACCACTGGTGTACACGTTAGACACTATGATATGCGTGTGCGATCGTGTGCGCGTACATTTGTTGGGGTTAAATAATTGTATGACTAGAAAGGACAAGAAACTCTAAAAAAAAGGAAACAAAAATATTGGGGAGGGGGAGGGGGAGATAAAAAGAAAAAGAGAGAAAGCTTAAAAAAAAAAACACTAACGATAAGAGAAAACGACATTCATTCTAAGCATAACAGCTGTCCGTCTATTTGACTTTGTGTGTTCGACGAAATAAGATGAAAACAAAAAGGAACTGAAAAAACAAAAAACAAAGAAAAAAAATAATAATAGAAACAGTACTATTACGGCTCACAACACGTTTGAAAACAAAACATTAAACAAAAAAAAAAAAAAAAAAAAAAGATTCATCGCCTCGATGTTAAATGTAACACGTTTTACAAGGTAACAGAGTATTTCATTTTATAACATTTCTACTGTCTATACTTTTACCCGGACATTTTCACCGTGGACGAAAAAAAGAAAAAAGTAAAGCAGTCCATGTGATCCAAAATCAACCCCTCCCCCCCTGCAACTCCTTTTTCCGTCGATGTAGTAAATAACAATTGTGCACATAAATCGCGCATCAAGATGTCTTATTACTGCAAATCTCTCTTTCAACGAGGATTCTTTGCATTTACAAGTTCTTTTTTTTTATCTTTATAGAGAAAACACACTATATACAATGGTTAAAACAACATATGAATCACAAATGATTTCATAAAACTACTAAATTTCTTTAAATTTTGCAACAAACACTTTGAGATTAAAATATAAAAATTTTATATTCTATAAAATTATCTATCTAATATGTGTGTGAGAAATAATTAAAAAATATTTTTAAGTTCTTAAATAGCATTGTGTTTTTGAAATTAATTCCTCGTTGAAAACGTTGAAAGGAAAATTTTTGCGTTTATTGCCAGTATGTGTCACAACGATAAGCCGTAATTCATTCTTTCTTTTTTCAATCTTTCATTCCTTTTTTATACCAAAGGTACAATAAGGAAGAACAGTGCTTTTTCGACGTTTGCCTTCGATATTCTAAGAAAAGAAATTTATTGCTTTGAAGATCTTATCGGTACTTCGAGATCGTCTTTAAACGTCCGCGCAAATTATGCTCGAAAAAGAAGTACATGCATAAGATACATAGGAGATAAATGTTGGTTTTTAAAAATTTTAATAATTGCTTCTGTTAGAAGAAAAAAAGAGAAAGAAAAAACGTATTTCGAAATCGAACTTTGAAAAAAATTATGATTAAATCAAAAAAGTACTATTGCTTCAAATTTCGTGATGAGTGCCTATTTTTTGATCATGTTATTTATGTACAAGGTTTCGTGCTTCGACCACAAACTACAGCTATTTCCAAAGTGGAAACTAATGAAAAAAGATATAAGAAGAGAGTATTTCTACAGTCCAAATAAGACCAAACAAATTTCTTATAAATGTTTGTCTAAAGTATCTCGCGTAGAAGGTGTTTATCGTTCATATATAAAAAAAAAAAATTTGTTTCAACTTCTTCCACTTTGTAAAAAACTATAGTTGGTCGCGACTATGCGAATCACCCTATAGAATGAATAGAGTTCCCGGAAGAAAAAATAGCGCGAGCTATGAAAATATTATTTTCGATGTGATTGTAAAGTGATCGAATTGTTCCCGTCATAAAGGTTTTATTTAAATTCGGTGTACCTTCTTCCCGGCACTCTTTCGTCATTTCTCTTTACAAACGACTGTTTTAAGGTATACATATACCATTCATCCATGCATCAGAAGCTTCTGCATTCATATATTGGCTTCGACAGGTAACACAGAAACCTGCTGGCGTAAAGAGCAAAACGGAAAAGCGGCAGGCCGATCAACGGCAACGCGAATCCTTGAAACGACGCAAATCCCTGCCACGCCAAGCGGAACCGTCCGCCCTTAATCCTGAAAAGTCCATGTCCGCTCCTGCCTCTCAAGTCCCGACAACCATCGATATCCCGTTGTCTTCTGGTTCTACGATAACCACGTCAAGCACGAGCAAAAGCACGATGTCCGAAGAGAATGTTTCTAGCGGTTCTACAGCATCACAGGAGATTCAAGGAATGCCGCGCTTAGAAACTGTGCAAGTTTAAATATTCGCGGTGGCGCTTTGCGACGAGCGCGCATGCGCACCTCCAACGCGCATGCGCAAATGACGGGCGCGTAAAAAGTCAGTAACGGTTGGCGCGATCCAGTTTAGAACGCACAACTGGAGTATGTATCGTTTAATTTGTTGTTTTGTGTTTCGTACTTCGTGTGTCGCATTTCACGCGTAGCTTCATTTCCCTGTAAACACACAGATTCATTTAAATCTTACGGGAATTGTTCGCTTGTTGATTATCGAAGCGTTTAAATTCATTTCGAACGAACACGGGTTTCGAGTTGATAGAGCGAATGGTGCGTGTACGTGTATTCCAAGAGACTTCTGCAGATTCGATGGAATTCTTCTAACGGTAAATTTTTATCACTATTATTCTAACTTATTTGCTATTGTTAAGAACCTTTTGCATGCAAGCATTAGAAACATTAGAAGACGATATCGCGAAATATATTTAGCATCGATGTGTTGATACATTGAAGTTTGAATTTCGGACGCCATTTCTAAAGTTAACGTCTTATATTCGCAGCGTGAATTTAGTTAATTTTATTCAAATCGACTTGATGACATCGTTAAAAGTTTTCGCAATTTTGAAGAAATTTAAATAGTGAAAATATTTATTCGTTCGTTAATGTACTCGAAAAATGGTAATTCTTATTTTCAATTTTAATTTATTCAAATTACTGCACCATTCTTTCCACAAATTGAAAATGAAGGAGCCCTATGTACGTGTTGTTAAGCAAAAAGAAGGAAGTATTGAATGACTTGATCTGAGTTTCTGTTCTTTTTCTCTCAATTGTTTAAGTAAAGATGGATCGGTATCGTTAAATATTTTGCTTGTTTTTACATACGAAACGATAAGTTCTGTAATGAAAACGTCTGGTTAGTGATTGGATGTATAACTTTTGATTCGCAAAGTAAAATGCAAAATAAGAACTACCTGTTGTATGCGAATAGCTACTTAAGTTAATTATTACATTCTGTTCGAAACTATTAAATTTATATTATGCATATAAACAGTGATTTAATAAAGATACTTTCTTTTGATACAACTTTCAAATTTTGATTTTCTTTGCTTATTAATTGCCTTATAATACGAACACGTTTGTAACTGTATCAAAAAAAAAAAAAAAAACTGCTTTAAAAATCCATTTGTATAATTTAATATTTATTACAATTTATTATTATACACATTATGAACACATTATTTCGTGATTTGCAATTAAAAAGTGTCCAAATACCTTTAACCATTGAGGGTAATGGGACAGGAGAGTTATTATAGTATCTTGATCTTCCATATATATATTTTCCAGTATTTTTAATGTGCCATTCTTAGAATTATCAGTGTGATATATAGGTTCTATTCGCAGTAAAATTACAAGAGATTGCAAATTTCTTGGATAAAGATCCACAATATCTTTATTTTCATTTTTGCAACATTCCTTAATCCGTTCTAGTGTTAACTGTATAAAATTCATAACTGCAGGAGCATGATCTAATTGCACCAATAATTCCTTTAGAAATGCACATACCAATAGAAAGATATGTGGAGATTTGGTAATAAATTTGAATAATTGTTCCGTCAAGTTTACATTCTCTGAATTATCCACATTGTTATCTTTATTCAAAGTAGTACATGATGATACGAAACTACTTAATAATGGTTGCTCTATTAGTTTGCATTTCTGTGATTCATATATGATTTCTATAGTTGAAAGTTTAAGCTCCAAATCAAAGCTTTTCTGCACAGCGTAACATAATACATATTCACTATTGTCAGAGGCTTCTAATTTTGTAAGTTTTAGTAATAATTTCTCTATGTAGCATTTATAATATGAATCTGTGGACGCTAGGCACATTAAAGCATTGACTAAAGATAATAGATTGTCACTTGAATCACAACTGTTTAAAACATCGTCTGTTAAATATTTTTTCAACAAATATTTTAATAACGATAGACTTTGCTTTTCATCTCTGAGTATTTTGAAATTTTGAAAGTCATCATTGATCCTACACCACTCTCGTAAAACATCCTGAAATAATACTAAATTATAAAGTGATACAAGGAACTTTTTTTTTATAAACTTTTATGCAAAAAATACATACAATTACACGAAGTCTTACAGTATAACGTTGATATGCTTCCTTTGATACTTTATACGACAATAATTTTGTTAAAGATAAACACAATGCATTGAATATATCATTAGATGGTAGAAATTTATCCTCTTCTAATAGTCTTTTATACTCCCTTGAGTTTTCTAAATCCTTTGTGACACTTTCACAACTACATAATATTGCTCTCAGGATCCTTTCATCCATATCTTATTCAGATCATTAAATAGAAAAATAATTTCAAAAAAGATGAAAAACAAGCAAGTAATAAAAGCAAAATGAAAGAAATATCATTATAAATCATCTAAACTAATAATCTTCTTAAGAAATAAAATATTTGTCAACTTACTAAGGTTATATTATATGTTATATATAAATCCTGTTGCATTTCTTTACAAACGTAGTTAATTTTACCAATACAAAATGTTAAACTCATTATAAAAGCTATAACAAATACATCACATTTTAATCTATTGAAATAAATATTTGATCACGATTGAAATAACACATGGAAGACAGAGTAACTTCTCAGTTATCTTTTCTAATGTTCTATGATCCAGAATTAAATAATTTTTTTAAAATTTTGTTATTTTTCTTAAGTACTTTCTATTTATTTTCTTTTTCAAATTTTTAGTATTTATTTTATAATTTTAAAATTTAACATGTAATATTTAAAAATACAGAAACAAGAAGAATTTAATTTTGTAAGGAATTTAAATATATTTACAAATTGTCGCGATAGATTTTATTATTTATATGTTACATAAAAGATATATTTTAATATTTTTAAAAATTTATTTCTTATATCAATTAAAATCATACATTTAAAACAATGAATCTGTCTATCACTTTATTAATATCAATATTAGTGATACTTCAGTTAAGTAATGTAATGAAACCTTACAAAATATTTATATTATGATAAATACTAACAAAATCTATTAATAATATCAGCAGTGATGAAGAAAATAGTTCACAATAACTATATGCGTAATTGGGAGTTGCAATCATTACATTATTGGTTTAAAAATGCCCCATCACAAAATCCCTCAATTAAATATAATAACATATTTAAAATTATGCAAAATACAACACATAAGATTGATATATCAGATATTGCAAATATCAATGCTCAACAATTTCCAAAGTAAGATATTAGAAATTATTTTAATAACATGTCAATAAAAGATTGATTGTCTTTATGTAGTTTTACTCGAGCATCACATGTCAACTTTTATGATAGAGTACTATTAAAAAATGTTTTTGAACATTGGAAAATATATGTTATACACAAATTACACACAAGAAGAGCTACCTATAAAGCTGATTATTTTTATCATAAAAAGTTGAAGAAAAAGATTTTAAATGCATTATCAAGAAATGTATTGTTAAAATGGAAACATATTGTTTCACTTACAAATAAATACACTAATGAATCTATAATTTCCATAAATTACGAAAAAGCAAAGACACATTATTATAAATTTTTATTAAGAAAGTACTTCAAACGTTGGTGTTGTTATATTTTAATGATAAGAAAAGAAAGAGAGTTATTAGAAAGAGCTGTTATATTTCATAATATATATTGTTTGAAAAAATATATTATAAATTGGAAATTGTACATACTATTGCAAAACAGAAAGAAAGTTACAAGAAATAAAATTAATCAAGTAATATTAATTTAATAGTCAGTGGTATCCTAATTTATATAATAGTATTATATAATACATAATAGTATAATAATTTTCTATTTAGGCACGTCAGTTTTATGCAAGAAAAACTTTACAAAAATACATAAAGATTTGGATTAATAGCTGCGAATTGCCATTACAAAAAAGTAAAATGAAAAATGCAATTATGCATTACAGAATTAAATTGCTAATAAGATATTTTAATGCTTGGGAATTGTACCATGAATATAAAATTAAAAAGTTAAATGTAGACGAACGTATTTCAGTATATAATAGAACGAAATTGTTGAAACAATATCTTAAACGATTCATATTGGTAGGATTTATAGTTGATCCATGCATTATTATTTATCTTTGTTCTCATTAAATTTTATTTATAGTGTGTAAATGAATCTATCGCGGAAAGGATAATGAATGAAAACGCTGAAAAGTTTTACAATTTCAAGCTTGTACAAAAAGTATTTTTTGCATGGCAAGAGTGGTATAAGAAAAAACTACAAAATGCAGTAAAAATTTACGAAATAGAGAAAATATTTGAAAACAGAAGAAAAAGTACAATATTCAATAATTGGTGTTTATATGTAATTCAAAAAAAATGCAAAAGAAGAAAATTATTTATAGCAGACAATTTTTATGAAAAAAAGTTGACAATGAAAACTTTAAAGAAGATTCAGGATTATGCTGTTTATAGGAAAGAAAAAAAGATAACATTATCTCATTTAAATGATAAAACTAAGGAAATTACTCGACAATTACAGTATATTTACGTAGAAAAATGGAGAAATGCACTTTACAGTGTTATACAAGAAAAGCAAAAATTGTATCAAGCAATTGAATTTTGGAAACTGAATGCTTCTCGTAAATACTTCTCTAATTGGAAAGAATTTTCTCGACAGTACAAAATAAAAATGGTTCGTAAACGAGAATTAAATGAGATCGCTACTGGTTTTCTATTAAGAAAGTTTATTTTACATTGGCACTCTAAGTTGCAAGATGTTCTGTACATTCGTAAAAAAGAATTTCTTGCGATCTCTATGGTCGAACATAAAATTTTAAAAAAGTACTTTCTGCTTTGGAAACAGTATATTGTACAAAAAGTGAAAATGAAAAATGATATAGAAGCAGCAATAAAATTGCACAAGAAGTGTTTGTTACAGAAAGGACTTAAAGAATTTGTAAGAAATTCTCTTTACAATATCGATTACCAACGTGATTTGCAATTACAAAATGCAGGAATGAAATCATTTAAAAATTATGAAATTTTGAAACAGTACTTCGATAAATGGTACATGTTAATTTATTTGAAGAAAAAATCGGAATCTGTTTGCGAAATTACAAGTAATAACAAACATCCATTTACACATATTCAAACTTCATGTAATAATATATTTAATAATTTTAAAACTCGTTTAGTTTTACCAGAATATATGTTGAGAAAACAGGCAGTTTCAAATGATTCATTTGAATAATATTTCGCAAAACCACTGGTCATTTGATTAATCTTAATTTAAACTAACAATATCGTAATTCATAAATATAAATATTAGTATTGATAAATATAAATAGAAATATAACTAATTTAAAAACATGCGGTGCAAATATTTCTAGAAACTATTTATTATACACACATGGTTTATGTACATTTTATTGTCGTACGGTATTCAAAAACATTTAATATAGTGTTGAAATTACAAAAATCTCAAAGAACGCTAATATAGCGATTATGTCAACAAATCTTGCTCAAAATCATTTATACAATATCTCTTTTATTAATATTATTTCTTTCGTTTCAATTTCTTTAATTCACTTTGCTGCATCGCAGCTTCGCCGAAGATCTCTTTCACCTTGCGTTTACGTTCTTCGTCGTTTTTAATCTGTTGTTTTATTTGTAATTTTGCTAAGAAAGTTCTATCTCTTCGTATTTCACGCATGGCACCTTTCATTTCTTTTTTATACTTGTGCAATAGTTTTTCCCTTTCAGCTTTCTCTTTGGACATAGGTTTATGCTTCTTACTATCATATCTGTAAAAAAAAGTACATAAAACTGTATAGTTTTTTTGAATTTTGTAAAACAATGATATTTGAAATTGAATTAATGTTTTACGTACACTGTTTCGATTCGAGGTTCGTACAGTCTTAAAGGTTTTGGTTTCTTTTTCTCAACCACAATGTATTCCAACTTTTTATTCTTCAATTCTTTCAAGTCTTCTCGTAATTGCTTAATATGTTTTATCACAGACAATGGATACTTATTAAAAGAATTTAGCTGGAGTAATTTTAAAATTGGTTCAAATATCGAATATGCAGCTTCTAGTTCCTCTAGGTGATTTTTAAATTCATGCAGTAAATTTACAGCTATCAATAAAGCTCTTATTCTGAAATCATCATCTAATGGTCCATCTACTAGATCGGACGCTTTCATATGAATGCTACTTGGATTAATATCCAAATTAGTCTGATCTTCATCTAGTATCAATAAATTACTCGATTCTCCAGTTGTTTTAAAGGGAGGTATTATTTTTATTCCTTGAATCAAATGCTTAGGCGTGGATATGTAAATTATTCCGCGCAAGAAATTTATCACAGATGGTGCGAATCGTTTACTTAATGTTGTATACTGTACATGAAATATTGTTAATATAGCGTGTTATAATTCCATATAATATATTCGATTATATAAAAATGTAATAATGATAGTGATGGTTACCTCTAATATAAGTGTACATATAAAAAGACCTTTTGAAATATCTACTTTATTTTTAATACGACATCTAAATAATATTTGTGACATAAATATTAAAGAGGGAGTAGTAACAGGGTGTCTGAAATCAGACGTTGGAAATAGCAAAGAAACCAATTTAAAGAAGACAAGCTGAAAAAAAATGTTTGTTAAAAGATTATAATTAATATCATGAAAAATATACTTTATAATATTATAAATATATATAATATTGAACATACTGTATCTAAGTCAGGGTATTTTCTTTTATTTTTCTCAAAATCTTCATGCTTTTCTTTAATTATTTCTTGTGTAACAGAACTAGCATTTTGTGGATTTAAATGTGCAAGATCATATAAGAAAGGAGATAATCTGTAACAAATATTTGTAATATAATATAAAAATAATATTAATAAAAGATAAATATAGGATGAATATAAATATAGGATTAAAAATTTTTATGTTACCTATCAATAATTTGAAAACCTTTAATCACACTTTTGATATCATCTTCCATAGTATGATCATTTATGTGCTGTAATAAAAATAAAAATAGATTCGATAATTTTTCTTTATTTGTATTATTCAGTGACCAATGGTTACATTTAATTATGCGATCTACAATAATTGATTGACAATCAGCATTATAATTTTGCAGAATTTCTTGTAATTCTGCAAAACTTTCTGGTACTTCAAAAGTGTAAGGCAATTCTTTCCTTGCATTTTCCATGATTTTTTTTCTTTTTGAAAGATCATTTTTTATTTTTTGCTCTTTTAAGTTAATTGTCATATTGCTCTTGTTTAACTCATTTTCTTCTTCACTAGAAGATTCTATTTCTTTCAAATCTGATAAATTATCTTCATTAGAACTTTCAGATTCTGAGATTTCTTCATTGGAATTCTCAACTGATTTTTCTTTTCTAATAATACCATTCACTTTAGTAGCATTTACTTGTTTATCTTTAACATCTGCAGTTTCTTCATCATTGTTAAGAATTAAATTATCTTTATCATTGTCATCACTATTATCATTATCATTATCATTATCATCATCATCACCATCATAATCACTAGCATTATCATCATCACCATCACTATTATTATCATTACCCTTATCAACAATGTCACTAGTATCTTCATTGCTTGAACCTTCTTGTGCAATTGAATTTTCTTTATCATCATTTATTAGAATCTCATCATTTATAATTTCTAGTGTGAAACCATCATCAAGGTCATCTGCAGATTTATGTTTAATACCATTGTTTGTATTTATAAGTCCTTTCATTCTTGCAACTCGATCTGCTTCTAAGGCTTCCAATTTCTCCTTTTCCTCTTTTACAATTTCTTCTTCAGATTTTAATTTATCTGATGGTGTACCTTTTGCCTCAAATTTCAACTCGCGTACTGCAATGTCATAATCATCAGTCTTTGCATGTGTTGTTTCTTCAACATTTTTATTGGCTGCTGAGACGATTGGAAGAAGATCTCTCCATTCAGAATCAAGCTTTTCTGTTAAATCTATTGTCTGTTCACGTATCTTTTGTCTCTCAGCTTTGCGTTTTTTTGATTCAGCTATGAGTTCATCTATAAGATCTTTCCTAGATTTTTCAGACTCTGATTTTGACAAAACGCCACCACCAAAATGAGCTTCATTAACAAATTTATTATTTAGTTTACCAGATCCATTTTCATCATCACTATATTCGTCATCACTTTTTGGATCGTCAAATTTTTCAATTTCTTCTAAAGTTTGGCCTCTATGTGTCAGTACTTCTTCATCATTCAAATTATAAATATTCTTTTTCTTATGAGCTTTCATGCGTTCTGCTGTAAATCTGGCTAAAGCTTTATCTTCTTCATTCATGAATGAATTTTTCTCACCTATACGTCTGTCTAAAAACAAGTTACTCTTGTGCTTCAATTTATATTCTTGGAGAAGTGTATCTTTTCGTTTTTTAATTGCTTTTGCACGCGATACACCTGGAAGTCCTTTATCTGCTTTGCTCTTTCTACCCAGCACATTTTGTTTATCCCTATTAATATGCACTTCAAATGGATTCAAAGATTTCTTTTTTTCTTGGCTTCGTTTTTCTTGAGAAATTTCCGATAACAATTTCTTCTTTATTTTAACCATTTTTAACCTAGAAAATTTCAACGACTGTAATTTTTCTGATAACTCATATTATTCTGAAATATATAAACTATAATTTATTGATTTTGTTTGTTGATAACTGTATTTTTAAATATATTCACAAATATTAACTTGTTTTGAAAGATAGGTCATTCGGTGATTACTCACTTTTAGAAATCAGTACTATGTATATGCTATACAGTAAGGCTCTATAGCATAATGGATAAGGCATTAATTTCCTAAACCGGAGATTGTATATACTGCACTAGTATTAGTGGTAATAACAACTTTTCTAAATATACGATGTTACTAAATAATACTGTTATTAGAGATTTTATTGATTAAGTTGCTTTTTGATAGTAAATGTGTTACATTCTGCTATGCACGTGCAACTATATATTTTAGTTTGTTGATATTCGAACTATCTTATGACTTCAGTTTTACAGAATTGTCACGATTTTTCAAATTGTTAAATTTTTGGGAAGTTATTTTTTATTATATAGTAAAGCAGGGTTAAATATTATTTGAGTAATGATATAAAATTCAAAATTTGAATAGCAACAAACAATAAAATTTAGTGGTCGTAACATATCGACCATATTGTTTGAAAGTATGTACATACTTTTCTCCATTATATTATATACCTTCATTGTTTAAACGACATAAATTTATGAAATGGTTATAATTAAACACCTTCTTAATTAAAGAGAATATTTTAATATATATTATTTATATGCATTATTTTGTAGTGTACTTTGTTAATTTGTGTTGGTTAAATAAGATAACCTAATTCGAAGAAAGTGTGGTAAGTGATTTAAATAAATTTTATTTGAAGAATACGAGTGTAATCAATTTTGCGCATTCATAAAAATGATGTCAACGTACAGAAATGTAATATGCATTTATGGGAAGTATATGCAGGTAATGTCAAACCTCAATATAATTTTAATAGTATGAAATATTAATTTTGCAAAAGCTTTTAATTGTAAAACATATCTTATTATCTTTCAGAGTAATTTACCTTTAATGTTAGGTCGTATTAATTATCCAGTTTCTAATGACAATTTTCAACAAGTTAGAAATATAAAAAAACATTGGAACCAAAAATATCGTAAAGCAAGGGCACAGAAAGTCATTAAAGTAAAGTTACCTAAATTTGATGAAAATGAAAGTCCTGCTGATGCATTTAGATCAAAGCTAAAAGAAGCTGGAATTCTACCACAAAGAGATTGGACTGAAAGACCTGTTTTTATTAGTTCTACGCCATCAATATTTGAGCGCTACATTGTTCCAGAAGGTGATGGAAAGTTTTCTCCTCTTACTACTACGGTACATAATACATTTATTATAGCATAATATAATTAATGAAAAGTGAATTATAAAAATATTAAAAATGATTTTGTATTTAATATTTAGGGTATAAAACAAAAGTTTGAAGTTTTAGAAAAAAAGAGCAAATCCTTTATGGCTCTTAGAAAGATCAAAATGTTTGAAGATAACTACACAGCTGAGAAATTTAGAGATCATCTATCAGATATTTATAAAAAGGCACATGAAGCTTTATGTCGGTAAGTAATGTTGATTACAATTTATTTGAAAAATAACTGTTATAACTGTTAATCAAAAGACATAAATTTATTGTGTTCTCAGCAAAGATAAAGATGAAATATTGCAATATGTTACAGAAACTGTTTATCCAGTAAGTCTTAACATATTTAAATTTAATCTTTTTTTTTCTCTTGATTGTAAATTTATTGATAGATATTATTTCGCTTCAGTTACTGATACACAATGTAGAAAATAAAACACTTATTTGGAAATTCGTGGAATCTCTAGAACCACCGCGCATTGTACATGCAAGAGTAACAAATATCGTAACAAAGCATAATGAATATGCACAAGTCACCGTTCGTTTTCATACTAAACAGGTTTAATAACAGATTTTAATATTCTTATATTTATAATCTTTAGATTATTACGTTAACAATTAATTTTTTTTAGCTTTTATGTATATATGATCGATTTGGACGAGTGATATTAGGTAGTGAGACAGTAAAAAAAGATGTTTTGGATTATATAGTATTTGAGAAACATTTAGCTAATGAATACGGTACTTGGCGAATACATGGAAAAATCATACCAGACTGGATGAAACCGGAGGAAGTACCGACATTTACTTACAGTTTGCTAAAGAAACAAGAAGAACTCTCATCCTCTGATAGCGATGTTCAATCGGTTGCTAAAGTAGTACCTCCAGAAACTTTGGATAAGCAGCATACAACATAATTATATTTCATGTATAGATTTCTGTTATTATAATTGATAAATAAAATGTTTTTAAAATACAATATAGATTAATTCAATGAAAATATAAAAGTTATAAACTTTCCAACAATATTTCTAAATTTTTATTAAGTTTTACATTTTTTAATGATGATGTTTACGTTTTCTTTATATCTAATTGATTTCGCAATAAAATATTAAATTTTCAAATAAAAAAATTATGAAAGATATTAATAATCCGCCAATGAATATCATTAGTATTAAGTACACTTGTTCTAATGTAATTGGTTCTATTACATTCGGTGCTTCCTCTTCCACATTTTTTGAGTCTATCCAACGTTGTTTCAATATATTCATAAAACCGAGTTCATGTAATCTTAGTAACCTATGTAGGAAAAGCAATTGAATTATTTTATCTTTCAGTAAAATAAGTAAACTTATACTATGATGTTAATACTAATATGATGTTTAAATATTTACCCGATATCAATAGATCTTTTATGTCTAAAAGTTTTCGATATACCGGAAACTATCCATGCATTCTGTAAAGGAATTCCTACAGGATTCAATCGACAGGTGTAGACTCCTCTAGCTTTTTTTATATCTTCACCTTGATATATTGCATATAATTTATCAGTTGAACATGCTCTTTTATATAAATCCTCGACTGAACTAAAGCTAATACATCGTTTCATATCCATCGCTTTTGCGTAATCGGACCATAATCGTCGCTGAATTCGAATAATAAAATAATTAAATATTTAAATATGATAGTCAAGCTTTTCGTTATAAGATCCTGAGTTAGAAAAATTTTTACTATTTTCGTACCTGAAAAAAAGCATGTGGTAGAGAATCTTCCAAAACTAAAATATTGTATGAAGTGCTATCCAAAAGGGACTTTAAATCGTTAAAAGGAGGTATAACGGTAGTTTGTGTCATATATCTTATTAAAAGGGCACTGAAAGCGGTTCTGATTAGAAAAGAAAATAGGCCCACCCATAATTCTACTAATTTGGAACTTCTGGTCGCTGTAGATGGAAAATAGCCTGTAAAAAAGTTAAAGTCTTCATTCACGTAATTTGTAGCTTTTAGTGAGATGCTTTAATAGTAAACGAAGAAAGTATTTAAGATAGTAAAAAATTGAGAATTTTTTTTTAAAGAAAAGATGTTAAAATTCGAATATATCATTTTCTATTTTCATGCAGGCACAACTGTGAATTGAAAATAATTTGGTTCTTATTTTCGAAAGGGCTGTGCATTAATTTTTTTCTTTTTATAATCTTTTTATAAGTTACTTTGTAATTTAATAACAAACGTTGAAATTTATGATTATGGAAAGATATTTATGATAAAGAATCTTAAGTAGATAAAAATTGAATTTCGTATACCAGAACCTGTACTAATGTATTTTCTCTTACTTTGTCCGCAGATCATGCCAAAGTTATAGAAAAGATGATCGTTCAAGTCAATGTCCAACTTCTTATGCGTGATTTTCGACTCGACCGTGTGGGAAAGATAACTGCATATGGTTAATAAAAAGTACGTCATCAGAACCGCGTGCCAAACTCTTTGGGAGAATAATTTCAGCATCCACATGCGTAAGTGTATTACTTCTCGTCGAATATATAGCCGATATCTGTGTGCAAATTGTGATATTGTATTTGAAAGTCTGTGATAAGTCTATACTTATATTTTCAAAGTTATTAACCCCTGTGTTTTCTGTACATATTATAAAATGTATGATTTTATAATTGAATTCTGAATATTATAAAATATTCTCACTCGGTTTTCCATAAAGGCATTAACATCTGAGTAATTCTAAGCCTCTTAGAATTAGCTGACATCCTCGATATTACATCCGTTTTATTTTCTTGAATATATTTTAATAGACCAGTTTCATATATGCCATCATCCCCTGACGATCCTGCACCGTGCTCGTCTGTCAAAATCGGTTTTAGTCTAAAATGTATTGATTATCTCTAAGATTTATATTCACGTCATTTTAATATCTAAGAGAGAGAAAGAGAGAGAAAGAGAGAGAGAGAGAGAGAGAGTTTAATATTACGTAAAATTTAAATATTCGGATAACATAATCCAGATTTCGCCTATAACCCCGGTGACTTCTGTTCCATTACTTTTGCCAAAGATGAGGTTTGACTCCTAAGAAAATATTATAAAATATGAAAGGATAGTGACAGACTCACGTAGATTTGAAAATCGATGTGAATAATTTGATAGAATCGAACATTGATCGAATACGTTCGAGTTCCGGGGTCATTTAAATAGTTGGAAGCGCAAATATTAATGTAAATAGGGATTTTATTTATCGCTTATGATTTTGTGTAATTTTTGAAAATTTCTTAGAAGAATTCGATCATTCGATTATTATCTCTGAGATGTTCCATTCCACTCAAATATCAACGTAATCGGCAAAGTTTCAAAACTTGTTCAAGTATTCTGAATCTTTACAAGCTCGAAATCGGCTTATAAAGATCAAACACTACGAGACTATCTCTTTAGAATTAGGGGAAACATTAGGTTTTACCTCGAAATAAGTGAATCTGACAATTTTTTTCTTAAAGTTGTATAGTTCCTCCCTTCGACTTTGGCTCAGTAGTTCGTCGTTTACAGCCGCGAAGGCTGGAATATTGAAAATCGGCACGAAATCCTTCAGTTTCTTGTCCCATATTACACCGTTCACTGATTGAACCGGTCTCAGCAGTTGGTGAATCATTACGAGCAATAGTATCGTCTTCATAAAGCAGGAATCTCTTCGACCGTTTTGCTCGGGGAACGACAATGGCAATGCTTGCTTTAGCGACATTTAGCAACCACAATCGTTAAGAGCAGGTTTCATTATATTGATGCTGTCCGATATTTTCCGTTTTAACGCGTTCTGATTATTGTCTAATCGATCGAATCATTTGTTATCCGCACTCTTGTTTTATGGTCGTAAGATCGATCTTAAATCGATGCAATCATTTTGTAAAATCATCTTCGTCGTTCTGCTTTTCGAGCGGGTGGTTTGATTGCTATTTCGAGATATTGAAAGACGCAACTCTACGCATCGTTCATTTATCATTCGCTATCTTAAAAACTTGAGAAGTGTTTTTGTCTTTTGAAAGTTAGTTGTTTACTATTTGATTTAATTGAGTTTGAAGTATAGAAAATTTTCGAATAGATTCCAGATTAAATTTTACGAATTTAGAGTGAATGTGAGATTAGACAAAGTTTCTCACATGTTACGTTAAGCGAAAATTACTTTTTATAATATTTAATATTTCATTTCTCTTTTTCGTCTACGCAAGTTTTTTTCTTTATTGTTCGCAGTTCCGAAGCTTGCAATGAACGTTGCAATAAATGGTCTTTCGAATAATCACACGTTATTATATACATTAAATGTAGCGATTAAAACTAATCGCGTGTCATTTATCAAATTGCCATTTGAACGAAATGGTTCCAGCGAACATCGCTAACGAAATCTTACGCTAAATTACTCTAACATTTGCCTGAGTAAATGCTATCGCGTCTCATGATCTCGCGTTTCTGCATGCCGATAATAAATGTGCACGATGTTCTACTGATATATCATTCTAATATGGAAATGCATCTACAATTTAGGTCAATCGTAAAAATGCATTTAGCCGTGTAAATTGTCTTTCGACTCGTCGTCGAACATGGAAAAGAAACTGGAAAATAGAACTTTGTAGAATTTCATGATGTCACTTGATAAAATGAATTTGCTGATTTTTTATTTAGAGTAAATAATTAAAAAAGATATTTCTTTCCAGTGTTTTTATTCTAAATTTATTTCAAATTAAGTAAAAAAAGATTGAAATTGGGGAGAGAAAGTGAATAAATATGAAACGTACATATTTTAACATTTATTCAGGGAACATGTTGCTGCGGATTGAAAATAGATCAGGATTGAGATGTGACAAGAGGGAAAAATGAAGTAGTATCGCTTTCTTACAAAAAAACATGGATCGCGCGCGTGTGTGTGTGTATGTATATATATATATATATATATATATATATATATATATTTATATATATATAAATTATATATATATATAAAGATCTTACATTTATGATCCTTCGTTAAAACGATTGACATAAATTAACTTAAGTTTAATCGATAACGAGCCTTCGATGCGGACACTAGGATTACCGTGTAATTAATAATAATCAATAATAATACAGAGACCGATTCGGAGGCTTGCTATCATCAAGAGTTCCGTTTTAACACAATGCATTATCCAATTGTTACTCTAATCGTCTCATTTGAATCGATTTTTACGACAGCTGACAGCTTTATACCGGCTGACTGAAACATCACCCTCCGTTGACTCTCCTCCCTTAATAGAAAATTATAAAAAGTATAATACAATTTCGTTTCAACACTCTCACTCTAGGCTTCCGTAACCTACTATTCTCTTGCTTACGATTCTAGCTATATAATTCACGCTATTCGCAACGAGTCAGGCGTTAATTCGTTTTATTATTATTATTATTATTATTATTATTATTCGAGTTTTACTAGAGACTAGTTTCGAACCGTTTATGAATACAGTTTATAACGCCTGCTTCATATAGTCGTAGGTTCTACGCTCTATACACGAATAATATGATCCTGTATAATTTACACGTTAATAGTGTCGACAATCGGTAATTGCTGAGCCTTTTGTAAGTCCTCGCTATCAGTGTGATACATATTTCCCTCGAATAACATTTATAATTTGCGAGTTTAATTTTTTGTAAGAAAAAGTGTTAAATTCTGGCAGTAGTTAAGAGCACATGATCTTGCACAGTTTTTTCTTTTCTTTTTCCTTTTTCTACGTGAAACGAGCGAACGATTCAAAGTACAAAATTTTATAAAACGGTATGAAAGAGTATAAAAGACTATTTTGCTCGATACAACAAAGATACACGTTTCGATTGAGCAAAGTAAGTAACTGCCGTTCACGTTTGGATATGATTAGAATTGCTTTTCGTTTCGAAACGAATCACCACCGATAGTTGACGAATTTTCACAGATAAAAGTTGCTTCTTTAAGAATCTATTAAACGCACAACGAGATCGTGCTTTTCGCGTAATCGACTTACTGCTACAACGTACAGCCAATAATTGATTATTGTGCCATTTCTGGAGATCGGTTTTCGAAATCGGTATTAGACGGCGAGCACCATCTGGCAGACACACGATATTACATTTATATTACAATCAGTCGAGAAGTTCACGGCTTCGCGTGTATGTAAAAATACAAATAAAACTAATGGTATATAAAAAGTCTCGTAGAAGTTATTTAACTTGCAAAACTTTGTCGCGTGAATATGACTCTAACATCGTGATTATAATATAACGAAATATTAGATTCTCATACAAGTGTGTATAAATCGCTATTGATGAATGTGCTCGAGTACGTGTTAACGCGGTTTTTAATACTCTCGAGGTATTATAAAACTCAATAAGTATTTGCGAAACAGTACAAAGGAAACGCGACAATTATACAAACATTAAACGTACGGTACAGCCTATATCTTAAACTGCATATATTCATATTTATACGTATGTATATTCCGTTATATTGTATGTATGTATAAAACACTCGTTAAGGTTGTACACCGTGTTTATTATTATTTTTTTTTGTTTTTTTTTTTGACGTGTTTATCGATAGTACAAAATATGTATATTCCGATCGAAGAAATAAATAAATACGGAAACGTGGCAGTGATTAGGTATTGGAGAGAGATCTGCTACCTATCCTGTGCAATGAATTATCCGATCTTTGGAAGATCGGATCGTATTTACGAAACGAACGGTATAAATAGTATATACCTTGTGTAACGATTACCACGAGTACATACAAAAATTGTCCAAGCGAACAATCTTCGTTCGTGTTCACTTCGATACCCTGGTCTCGGTCGTGACCTTACTGGGGTCTGGTAACCTGACAACTAATTGCGCTCCATTCTGCATTGGTCTGGTTCCATTAGGCGTGTTTATTTTGTTCATCGGCTGTGGCGCCGGGGGCAATACTTTCTTCGCTCCGCTTAGTTTTGGCGAGCAGCACTGTTTGTCATCGAAGTCGTTCAAATTAATGTTTGTCGTTTGACTCGGATAAATGGGGGCCTTTATGGGCGTGCCGTGTTCGTTGAAGCCGCAGTTTGGCCTCTGCTCGATGGAGTTCGTGTTTTGAAAGCTCGGCGGTAGCATTTTGATCCCGTTGTTGTGGTCGTTCAGGTTACAGAACGGCGGTTGTTCCGTGTTCCCTTTGAAGTTCATGTCCTTCGGATCGCATTTGTATATAGGCGCTGATAGCTGCGTGGAATTGGTTTTATTCGTGCTTTTGTGACTGCTCCCGGAATAACTGGTGATAGATTCGTTACAGAAATCGCTCAGGTATGTTTGGTTTATGTACCAGTTGTGAAGGCGATGGTGAATCTCCGGGAATTGTGGTCTGCGGTTGGCCACCTCGTGCCAGCACTCTATCATTAGGCTGTAGATCATCGTCGGACAGTCCTCCGGGCAAGGTAACAATTGCCGTGATCGAATCATATCTATCACTTCTTGATTATTGTACCCGTAATACGGCTGTAAATTAAAAGCGCAACATTTAAGTATTTCATACAGTATATGAATATAGGTCGCATAATTTTTTTAGTTCTTTTATAGTCTCATTATCTACCGTTACCACTTGTTTCATTACCTGTAAGCCATAACTGTAAATTTCCCATAACACGACTCCGAAACTCCATACATCGGATTCTGTCGTAAATTTACCGTAGAGGATTGACTCTGGTGGCATCCATCGAACGGGCAATAAACTTTTGGATTGAACTCTATAGTAATCGCTGCTATATATGTCGCGGGACAAGCCGAAGTCGGAGATCTTTACTGTTAAATTGTCTCCAACTAGACAGTTTCTCGCGGCTAGGTCTCGGTGAACGTAGTGGTGACTGGCTAAATATTCCATACCTAATACGATATTTTGATTTAGTGAAATTTAGTGGAGATATAGTATGGTAAAACTACAAATTCGAAATTGATCTAACCAGATGCGATTTGTAAAGCGATGTGTAAAAACTCTGGTTGCTCTAAGATCTTTCCGTTTCCATTGTTCAATGGAACGTCTGATCTTGGTGAATGACAAATGAGAAACTCGTGTAAATCCCCTTGTGTCATGTATTCAAATAACATACACATTGGTTCTCCTTTCAATATTACGCCCAGTAGGCAAATAATATTTGGATGCCTCAGGTCTGTCATCAGATCAACTTCCCGTTTAAAATCGCTCTGTGTTTTTGGACTTGCATTCTCTTTCAATGTTTTCACGGCCACATAAATTGGTGGCTCGCATTTATTGCCTGTTTGTAGTTCTCCTTTGTATACCTTTCCTATAAAAAGTTCAAAAAAATTAGAGTTTGCTGTGTAAAATGTTTACAATCATCCTGTTTTATACGTACCAAAAGCCCCTTCTCCAAGTTCTTGTAAAAGTACAACATTATTGGTAGTAAACTGTGGCACTCTATTATTAGACGTTCGACTACTGCCACTACTTAATGTTCCTGTTCCTGGAGTCGTGTTACCAGGACCAGCTAAAAGAGAGCTCATTTCCATAGGTTGCGTTGTGCTTCGTCTTCCATCGTATATATTTTTGTCACATTGTATACCGGTTAACATCTATTAAATAAAAAGCAAAGCATTAATTTCGGTATACTTTATTTGAGGTGTAATTTCCAAATTAAGTACACTCACTTTATTCGATGGCAAATGATTCATCTGCCTTCTAGACTTTCTGCTTCTGTAGCAGCAGCAATAACAGACCAATATGACAACAAATCCCCCTGTTAGTACAAAACCAACGACTGCATAGATCCATAAGTTTTCAACTGCGAAGGAACAAGTCGTGATGTAGTCATTACTTTCTTTTATCGCATTTTTAGTTGCTTAGTTACCAAGCACAACTTACCACATTTAGGTATATTACAAAATTCTTTTTGCGGCTTACTATCGACATAAACGTAACACCACGGTTGTAATTCTTTATCGCCTGGGTTGCGGCAATACGAGTGCTTTCCAGCTAATTCGGGATAATCGGAGATTTGAAGATTGAATTCACCATGTGACCACTGCATACACGGTCTTCCGCTAATACTTGTCTTCACGATACCACGATAAGACTTTCCGCTTCCCCAGTAACAATAATCATCTATAAAAACCGAAATCAATATGCAATAATATATTTTCATCATTTAAGAAGCAGTTGAGGAAATTTAATACGTACTTTCCTGTACGTTGTTTCCTGAGGAAATTCCAAGACTTAAACAATCACGAGCCTCGGGGGTATCTTCCATCGGTAAATCAGAACAATCAACTAAAGGCACTTGATGTCCAATCAGTGGATGTCTTTTAGCAATTGCATACTCTTTCTTACATAAATCGTTTTCTAGCATTTCACATTCTTGTCGGCAAATCCTCCTTAATTTACGATTGATTTCGAGTCTGTTAGACGACTGTATTTCTCCATAGCTTTGGTTTATTATCTTTTTATTGGAAGCTTTTCCATCTTTGTACGGATTGAATTCTGAGCCAGGACCTAACGTTGGACTACGTTTTCTGGGAATACCATGGGATCCTGCAATGTCATCTGCATCATCCCCATCACCCCTATCTCTTGACAAATCACCCTGGTTTGAATTCAAAAAGTGAAATAAACTAGCGCTAGCTTCGGAATTCTTAAGTTTAAGAATACTGGCAGGATCGCGACATATTGGGAATGCGGAATAACATAGCGATGGTTTTGCATATCCCTCGCAATTTGACGAGACCTCGCTGAAACATAAACAAAAATTCATTCATTTTACATCAACGTCATTTACACGTCTGCAATTCACTTACTTTGAGTATTTGATAACACCAAAAGCTTTCATCAGTTTATCGTCGAGTAGCTCTTGGGTCATTGGATATGGAATATAAACGGATTGATTTCCTAAAAATTGTGCACATGTTTTTCCTACATATACCTAGAAGAATGAGTCAAAGCATTAACATATAATTCATAATTTCATAATTCGTCGAGGATTTTATGATTGTTTACGTACCTCACATTTTCCATCATGATTGTCTTTTCTCCCAGAAGGTAACTGTATATTGATGTTTCTAAGGCCGCTGATTGTATGAACGTCGATGGTGCTAGATTGTGAACTAGTTGGTTGTGGACTTGGTGATAATATACTAAATGGATTTGTTGATGCCAGATGAGAGATGTGTGGCGTTGACATTCCAGTTCCTGAGAGATCTAGTCCATCTCCAGGTCCAATGCTGTTAACAGCAAAAAGCAGTTTTATTTGAATATATTCACTCGGTGATATAAAAATTTACAGAATAAAAATGATAGGTTAGGAGTACAAAAAGTTTTGCTCCATTATTTCAGAGAATGATATATTTCTACCACAATCCAGGCATATACAAATTCATTTTTCACGCGAAATAAAAATATCAATTTGTCACTTCGTTACGTGAACATTTTATGTCATGATTTTTAAGAAAATAAACGATTGTTTTCTTCAAAACATAACCTTAAACAAACACAACTATCAACGGATAAAACGTCCTAATTCACGAAATAAAACAACTTAAAATGAAAATAAAATCACACAAATTCATATTCTCGATTTTTTATTTGATACATATCAGTTACATTCTTTTATTTTTCATTATTGTACAAAATTCACGGCAGTTTCTATAACCTCACTCGAGACAACAAACAATGATCACCTTGTTTCTGTAACATTTCTAACATTTTTGACACTATTTATGGCACGTACAAAAATACAAGTATTTTGTAACAATACTAGGTACACGAGTAGCTTCATATTTATAAATTATCTTTAAAAATTTTAACAGAAAAATCCTGTGTCATTTGACACCACACCCGGCGTCCATTTGTAAACTGATGTTAACAGCTTTTCGGGTGGTGAAATAAACAATCATCGCTTTCTTTTTAAATGTATTGCGTGCTTTTGTAAAATAGCTTCCTCGTTTTATGGATAAAACATCGATATCGTTAGCTTTTACATATAAATTTAAAGACAGTAAAAAGATTGAACCGTTGTGTCATTTACTGATCTTCAAGATTGATACAATAGATACTGGTTCGAATATTATACTTGTGTAAATTTAATATTTACCCTCCGATAAAGTCGCCACCACTGATGTCCGGGGAAAATCTATCGTCACTCGATGTTTGACTAATGGCGTGGTCGGAATGGGCAGGAACTGTAAAATAAATTATTCAAATTAAAAACCAAATACTTTAATTCATATTTCGCAAAAGTTCATAGGTATCTCAGTTTCTGTCAATAGTCTATGCGTTCGTTCAACATTTCACTCATTTTATATCCTGTATCTTCTTCCTTTAACTAGACATTTTTTTTTAAACAATGTTTGAGCCGGTCAATTATTCTCTTTCTCGTTACTTCTACTTTTACTTCAACTCCAAAATCTGATCTCCGCGCAAACACTTCTGTTCATTACATTCTACCTTTTTCCTATCGCGTCTTCAAACACAATCATCCTTTCTAGTCTCTCCCCCTCCTCCTGAGTTCACATATCGTTTACACTCCATTTTCCTCGTCGACGTCAATCTTGGCCAGCTCTTGTTCAAGATGACGCGCGGTTATGGGGGTTGTGGTAGCATCGACGACGCGACGGTCACGATAAAAACGTGATATCAGCGCGGACCAACTGAAATCTTTCTGGTCGAACGTTCAAGTTTCTGGTGTTCCTCTGTCGAAGAGAGGATGGACTGCTGCTCTCTTTGTACGCCTGGCACGTCGCGTGGTCCTTTTGAAAATCTCCGGGTTCGCGCGAGCCTGCATTTGCAGCTACGGGTTTATTCACCCTCCTCCGCCGGTGCTCGTGCCTTTGTGCCGCTATAATTCTAAAAGAGTTGGGACACGATGAAAGGGGTGTACGCTACGCTCGCTGAAAATCTCCTGCCGTCGAATTTTTCGATCTTTCTCTGTTTCATTCTTTCCTGTTTCCCTTTCTCTTTCTTTTTCCCTCTTCCCTTTTGCGTTTTTCTCTTCACCCTGTGCGCCGCGCACGGCGATTTTGTTTGCTTTATTTCTCCTGGAGGTCTCTCTCTCTCTTTGTTTACCTCTCTTATTAAAGAAAGGAGGGGAAATAACAACGGCGAGTAGTCAGCATCGTTCTTGCATTTCGGGTTTGCAAGTTTCTTTCATAAGGAAGAATGTTTGAGAATGGAATTTTTATTGTCGCGAGGATGTTACTTAACTACGACGGCAAATTAAAAATTAACGATATCGCCGAAAAGAGTTTCGAGACTTTACCAAAGATCCGTTCGAAAATTCTGCCTGTTACCGCAGATAAGAAGGTACTTCCTAACTTCTTTCCCCTCTCCTCTCCGTTCTTCTTCACAATCACGATCAGATCGTACTACTCCTCCTTTCTGTTTATCGTGGAATCGATAACTTTCTTAAACGAGTGGCATCCAAGCAACGCTCCCGAAGAACTTCCCAAAACGCTTCACGACAAGCTGGTGAGAGAGAGAGAGAGAGAGAGAGCTCTTCCTTTTCCCCGTTCGAGGGTAGATTCAGATTTCCGATATTATTTACCTTGCGCCATCGCAGAGAAGCGTCTTGCGAACAAACACAGAGAGTGGGTATTCCACCCTGAGGACCGATTTAGGTATAATAAACCGTCGACGATTACCAGGCGAAATTACTTTTCCTAGTTGGGAAGATTCTCCGTCCTGTTCCACCGCGAAATTTCGCCGGTTGAAAAGTTCGAAAGAGACGTTCCGTTGAGTTTCAGTAATTGTGCAACGCAGCTATGAGCTTTATTTCAACGAGAATGGAGACGTTTGCAAATCTCTTTATATATCCCTTCAGAAAGAGACAAACGTTAAATAGCAAGTCTCTCTGCTAAATGCGGTTTCTTAAACCCGTTAAATACGGCTGTTTTTTAATAAATCTTTTCATGTTTTCTTGCAAGTAATGATAACAAGGTGCTTTGTAAATTCGTAATGAGACTTGTTCAGTATTCTTCTATAGAATATAACGAGAGAGTATAATTGATGTTATTTGAGAAGAAAAGGGTCGTTCGACGTTCATTGAATTTTCATAAAATAGATATTGAAGCGTTGCATCGCATTTAACGACACGTTTCAAAATAAAAATCATGTAATTCCGATGCCGCGATTAACGTTGACAGCATTAAAGCTTCCGAACAGGTTCATTACCATTATTCATAAGATCCCCTGTTTAATATTTAAATATTCTGTTTCGTTATTTAACAAGAATTTCATACGACTTTGCCTCAGAATGTTGCTATGAAAATATAATCCGATTATATTTCAACGTAACAATGGAACACCAAGCAAACAAGAAGAAAACGTGTTCAAATATTTCGCGATTTATTATTTGTGGAAATAAAATATTTCGAACGTAGAACGTAGAATGCGAGTTGCACTCGAAACGGGTCAGAAGCACGTGAAATACACGCAAAATAAATGAAACGGAAATAAACCGAATGGGAAACGAGTTTATTAAAATATTCCGCGATTCATTGTCTAACAGGAAGCTGCACGCCGCGCATCGACGAAAATTCTTTATTACCCCGACAAATAAAACGTAGAAACCACAGAGAAAATACAGAGAAGTAACTTCGTTTCGAACGTGGTTACAACGAATAAAAAGAAAAAAAGAAAAGAGTATAACAGGCAATATATTTGTCGTTAAATCCGACGTGGACGTATCCAAATTGTCCAACGAATACTACGCGTAATTCCACTCCCAGCGAACGAGTAACGCGCGTAATTCAACTTTAAACGCGACAGATAAAATACACGAAACGAATGGGAAATAGATTTATGAAAATGTTCTCGACGAGTTCTCTCTCTGTTTAAGGAGAGAAGCACGCCGCGTTGGCTTGATTCCACTCGTAATTGCGGCCACCTTTTCATCGTGAAAATATTTATGCACCGACGGTGAACGTAATAAAGCCGAACTGAACGCTGGAAACCGGGGGGATGCGCGCAGAAAGGATAAAAAGACCGGGAGGGGGTGGAAAAAAAAAAAAAAAATCGAATTCGTTGCGAGCTGCAACGCTTGTGCGGAGCCGGGGATTTTTTATGTCGTTTCGGCAAGTAACAAACTGTAGCTGGCCGGATCGATTCTGTTTTAATTTCAATTATCTTTCATTACACGGGCCGCATTGTATGATTTCCGGCCGCGAATTTGATACGCGAGACGCGACTCCAACCTTCCGGTCGCGCTCTCTATTCGATTTATCGCCGCGTTGACAATGCGCGCCCATCTCTCTGTGTTACCCATTCTCTCTCTCTCTCTCTCTCTCTTTTCTCTTTTATTATTTTTCCAGTACCTCTCTTGGAATCGAAAATTGAAAAGGTTATCGCGCGTGAAGGGAGGAAATGAACCAAATCGCGTTATAATTCGACTTTGGATCTGGACGTTTGTTGGCGTTTTCGGAAACAGAGTAACGGTTGTTTTGTGAATTTAACGACTACATGAAATTTCCACGAGAGATAGTTCAAATAGAAGAAAACAGAAAATCTTTACGATATTACAACGCGCAAGCAGAGAAACTTTTATTTATACATTTTACGAAGAATGATTCGAGTCTTCAAAAAGTACACTGTTTTCATATCTATAAAATATCTAACGAAAACATTCGAATGGTCATTTCGTTTATTTTGATAGTTCTGGTATTGAAACGAGCACCCGTCTCGTTAAATTGCTCCGATCTGAATGTACCTTTAGCTAAGAGGCTAATCAGGACGAATCGGCTGATGTTTTAATCATTCTTTTGGTACTTGAGTTTCCCCAAACTTCCAGATCCCCAGAATAATCTCTCGGCATTCTAAAAACTTCTACTTCGAACGTCCTTGAAGTTTTCTGAAAGATTCAGTTCTGAAAGTTCCCGAGGATCATCTCTTCTCGACATCTGTTTCGCACTGTTTTCGTTTTAAAAGAGCCTCCTTCCCTCCTCCGAAACAGCAAGTTGAAAGGGGAGGGAAAGTCGAACGAAACGAAAGAGAATCTCCGTCGAATCTCCATTGAATCGATAAAGATTTTGCGAAGGGAGAAAGAGAGAGAGAGAACGTGGCGTCGTTGGAAATGGCCGTCTCCTCCAAGCGGCGAAATTATTTCGGAAATAAGCGGCGAGGTAGAGTGATGAAGGCGTAGAGGCGAAGTTGTAGGAAGAGGCAAGAGCTCCAGATCCGAGCGGCGGGGGGAGGGGGAGGGGAGGAGGGGGGAGAGGCGATTATTAATGACGGCGAGTTGTCTTATCTTTTGCACTTCCTGTTCGAGATACATGATACGTGGGTCGGACACGTAACCGCTGCTGCATCTCCCGTGCTCGTGGTGCATTCGACTTATAGGCCGGCACGATCGCGTGCTGCGACTCGTTTCCACCGATAAGAGCGAGCTCTTCTCCTCTTCTTTTTAGATTAAGCTACGTCGGAATGCATTTATCTGTATCGCATCGCGATACCTATCGGCGATATCGTCGGGGCATTTGCATCGGAATATTTGCTCTTGCATATTTACATATTCTTTCACGGATAAGCTCGTATTCGAATATAAATTTCGGGCAGAGAAAGAGAGAGAGAGAGAGAGAGATGCTTTCTTGCTTCGTAATGGGACTCGATCGGGTCCCGGAAAATTGACATTTACTTTAATGGGCCGTCGAACGTAGTTGAGCAATCGATTTCTCAATTATCTTCTCGTTTTATAAATAGAGAATTCTCCGAGCTTTATACGGAACGTAATCTGTTTAACAGGTTAATACAATTTTTAACGATTGCAAAGCGCAAAATTCCCGATCAATGAGACGTTAAATTAAAAAAAAAAAAAAAAAAATAGAAAAACTTTTTAATACTATAAATATAAAACTTTTAAAATATTATAAATATTTTTAAATACTATTTTTATATTATAAACGTAAAACTCTAAATATAAAACTTTTAATATATATTATAAAACTTTATAATACGCTGGACTTTTATTTATCAGAAACTATTCGCTGCTTCACGTCTGTAAAACGTCCAATAAATATTATAAATTGAGAAAAATAGAGAAACTTTATAATACTCTAAATATAAAACTTTTAATATATTTTTAAATACTATTTTTATATTATAAACATACAACTCTGAATATAAAACTTTTAATATATATTATAAAACTTTATAATACGCTGGACTTTTATTTACCAGAAACTATTCGCTG